TTTTTATTAAATCGAAATCAAGTCCTAGAAGTCCTAGAGGGACTTCATGTCCGAAAGGGTGCTTTAAAATGTGCCACTTTTCGAATAAAGTACTTAAGACTTTATCTTTATATTGTTGCATGTTTTTGCAACGTACGTTTTAAGTTATCCCAGCGCATTTTTACCGTTTTCTAAGAAGCTTGATGCCTCTTTATCCATTCTAAATGTTGGATTGTTCCATTCATATTATTCTCATTTTTTGATTCTATGAAGTTATTACAAAAATTTAAGTTTACAATTATTATGCAATACATAAATAAGTTATAAAATGGCACAAAAACAATAATTTATGTAATAAATAATGGTATATACTAAGAAATAAAAACACACCGTCATCTTCAGTGTCGACTGATGTTTGTAACGCAAATTTTTTTTAAACGGTAATCACGATTCCGCCATAGGTTTATTAACTTTTCACGTATTAAGATAGGTTTATTTTTAGATAAATTTTTTTAACGGGTGAAATATAGTATATATTAAGCGATTTGATTGGAAATTCTTGTATAATTTTCTCAGCCACATATCTTATTATTTTATTTCTTCTAAAAATTGTTAAAGAATTTTGAATTTTCGAATAGAAAAAAAAAATTTTCAATATAAAGTATTGTATAAGTATTTTATAAAAAAATTAAATTACTTCATTTTGTTGTTTTGTAAATACGATATTATAATATCACATGGTAAGTTTTTACTACTCTAATTTAACTTATTCTTTTTTTGTGATATTGTTCAATAATTGTTTCATCTACTACGTTGCTACTTAAAATTTCTCGTACAGATGATATTAAAATAAAACTACATCAAGTTTATCTCTCAAACGATTTTCACCTTTGCAAAGTGTAACTTCTTTTTTGGTTGTAGAAACACAGATATTATAAACTTCCTTTCCGAAATAATACATCCAAAATATTTTAAAAAACATTAAATAAAACATTTTAATTTTATTAAAAATGTGCAACAAATTGTTTACATTTTTACCTCCTCTAAATTAATACAATTATTATTTTGAATTTCTTCTTCAGGATTAAAAGTATTAGATGTACAATATTTGCTTTTCTAGTGATTAAAAATCACTCTATGCCCAATTAAGAAGATTAATTCTTTTATATCATTTTTATTCATATATTTAAGTACATCTACAGTAACTTTATTTTCTATATATGTAACAAAAAAGAAAAATTATATTATAATATGCAATAGTAAAAAAAAATAAAAATAAACAAAGAAATAAAACGGCAAGGTTACGTTATGTCTACCACACTTTAAGGCGATGCTGGAATACCGACATTTGCATTCTAATGGATAACTCCGAAACGACTGAACGGATTTAAAAACGCTTTTACAGGATTGAAATAGACATAAAATGTCATCGCGCTAGGTATATATGAGTAATAAAAACGAAAAAAAATTAAAAAATTACCTTTTTTAGGGATCATAATCTGTCACCTGACGTAAACATTTTATTGGTATAAAAGTTCTGCAGCTCATATGTATGTACAAAAAAAGTACCTAACGCGCATCGGATTATTTGCACGAATAATACAAGACGTTTTGAGCTACGATTGGAAGCATAGAAAAAAAGTTGTTCATTAGAATTTGTGGTAATTCGTACGCTCGGTTAAAGTAAAGACAGCAAAAATTGCGTCTGGCAGTAAGTGCCGGATTTTCTAAGAGATGGCACTTCAATTAGTTAAATAAAGACATTCCACGTGTTTGAGTGAGACCAGAAAATATTGTAAGGAGTTCATTTAGAGATACCACTGACACTGAAGAGTCTATTTTATCGACCTCGTGGAAATTTTTTCGACCTTCCGGCATCGCCTTAATAGCTAAAGGGTGCTTTCCAATTGCTTAACACATTTTAACACAAACGCACACAGGAATGCACAAAGTGTAGCGTTGTGTACGATTCAATTGGAACAGAATGTGCACAGTTTCGAATAGAGTTAGATTAATTTTTCAATACAATGTCAATGCCTTGATATTTTGTAATCCGTGATAGTACATTTCCATGTGCATAGTGCAAGATCG